CTCGTATGGATGTGTCCGCGCCTTCCTGAATGATCCTGCGGGGTATGGCAAGGCGAGATCAACGGGAAGACCGTCAAGTGTCACCAATGCCATGCACCGCAGTATCATTCGGGCGGCACGGACAGGGAAGTACACGGCGGGGGAGCTCGTAGAGCGACATTCCTTACCAGTTGGCCGTCGTCGGGTGTGTCAACTGCTCAACAAGAGCGGTAAACTGAAGTACAAGAAGCGACTTGCCGCACCGATGATGACGAAGGAGCATGAGAAGGCGCGCGTCAAGTGGGCGGCCGAAGTGATCGATTGGGGTGACAAGTTCGACCACATCATGTGGTCGGACGAAAAAAAGTGGAATCTCGATGGCCCTGATGGATTCAACTACTACTGGGCCGATTTGACCCGACGCCGTGAGCATTTCTCCAAGAGACAAAACGGGGGTGGTGGTGTCATGGTTTGGGGAGGCTTTAGCAGCCTCGGCAAGACTGAACTCGCATTTTTGGATGGCAAACAAGATTCGGATGCCTACATTGATACGGTTTCCAATTTTATGCTCCCATCGGCTCATGAGTACCATGCCCAGGATTTCAAGTTCCAGCAAGACAATGCATCGATACACACGGCTCGCAAAGTTTATGATTGGTTCAAGGAGCCCCATGTCAGTGTGGACGTTATTCTGTGGCCTGCCAAGTCACCTGACTTGAATCCCATTGAAAACCTTTGGGGCATCATGTCCCGTAAGGTGTATGACAATGGGAGACGCAAGTTTTCAAACAAAACTGATCTCATTGCTTGCATTCGCAAAGTTTGGGATGACATTGACATCTCATTGCTCAAAAAGCTTGTGGCTGGGATGCCAAAGCGTTGTGAGTTAGTTTTGGCTAGCAAAGGGCGCAAGATTAAGCACTAAACATGGAATTTCATCTTGTTTTCATATATATATTTCTCATACCCTTTTCGTATTTGAGGTATTTTTCATGGCATATGAACCTGTCCGACCCAGAAAGTCATCAAGATAGTTCGCTTTCACGTCCATTCCAAATGGCATTGATGCAAATTGAAAAATACGACTTGTGATGAGCTGTACTTGTGAAAGCAAGAGTTTTAATATCATTATTGCCACCACTTTACCAACCGATTCACTTCGCCTGGTCGCCTTGAACAAACACTTCGGACCCTACCTACTGTATCTTACTGTACCTGGCCGATGTCCGAACCACCGCGAGGGCAACGTACTTCTCGTGGGCAACGATCCCGCGAGAACACTGCCTTCCTAGAGGGAATGCCCCACCGCTTGCTCAATTTCGGCAACCAACGCCGACATCATTTTCACCTTGGTGTTCGCCTTCGCCCAGCGGCGAAATACAACTGGGATGTCTTCATACAGCTGTGTTGCGGGCTCCCACGAGGCTTCGGCGTCATCCAAGCCGAGCCACTTGACCAGTACTTCGAAGCGACTGGCGTTCTCGCGGAACTCCTTGAGGGTTTCCACGTGGAATCCGCTGTCCCCAAAGGCAACCTGCTCGAGGAGATCCTCGGCGACGTCGCGACCAGCTTCAGAGTATAGCTTGAGTCGACTGGCATGATGGAGGCTGATGCCATGAGGCGGCACCAGCTGCTGGACTTCCAAGAGGGGGTCCGACAGGACCCGTACCACGCGGTAGGGATCCTTCCAGCGTAGAGTCAGCTTGTTCGGGTGCTGAACCACCCGAGCTACCAACACGTAATCTCCCAAGGCCAGGCTTGGCCACTTTACGCCTTGTTTGTTTTCGAGCTGCTTTCGCTTCCTGTCACGTTTCGCCGCCGCACTCCCCACACAGTCCTTGTGCATCCGATCGAGGGCGGATGCCACCGTTTGCAGGTGCATTTGCTGGCTCTTTGCCAGCCAGTCCACCGCCGCCTGGTCCTTTAGACGCGGGTGGAAGAGAGCGCGCAACAGTGTGCTGGCTGGCAGAGCCAGGAACGCCGTGATCGGTGGGACTCCACCCAGACGATCGGTAGGTTGGTGATTCAGCGCTGACTGGACCATCGGCACTGTCACAACCCATTCATTCTCCCGCAACTTGAGCTCGCTGGACATGGCGCGCACCATGCGGAGATTCAGATGATTCACGACCTCTACTGTCCCGTTGGCCCAGGGACAGTCAGGCGTGACAAAATGGTGGTGGGCGCCCAACGTTCGACGTAACTCGTCGATCACTTGGTTTTTGAAGTGCGACCCACAGTCACTAACCCATGTCGCAACGACGCCAAAGAGACTAAACCAGTCCAGAAGGGCTGAAGCCGTGGCCTGAGAGGTGGCTTCGGTTCCTGGGTACAGGCGCACGTACCCGCTCATGTCGTCCTTGACGACCAGCAGGTAGCGCCATCCGTTCGTGGCAGCGGGCACCTTGAGCCAGTCAAAATGGATGAGCTCGTTTGGTCGGTCGGCGTGCAGAGCTTGACCCCAAGGCCGAGGCTCCACAATCCCATCCACAACCATGCAGTGCAGGCAGGCCTTCACAAAGGTCTTGACGTCGTGAACGACGCCACGCCAATAGAACAAGTCGGTCACCGCTGCCTTGGTCGCTTCGGTGCGACGATGGCCTCCCATACCGGCATGGGCCACGACACACAGCCGCTGGGGATCCACGTGGCTCCCGTCGGCATCACAAAACAGCCCTTGTCGACAGACCACTTGACCAGAGACTTGTCCTCCACTTCGGCCGTCACCTCGTGATCGAGACAGCCACGCTGGACGCGGACAATCTCGTCTAGGGCAGGCCACTCGAAGTCGGTGGACCGCAATGGTGACACCAGCTTGACCAGCCGGTAAACGCTGGCCCGGCTGGCCCTGCGGTTCGCCATGCCCCACCAACTCAAGAGGTCCCCCCAGACATTGTCGTCCCCCGCGATCGGCTCGATCACGTAGGGGAAGGTCGACATGACCATGGACCAGCGCTGCAGCCTGCTCGCTTGGTACTTGGTAATATTCGTTCCACCCCCGCCGGGGTGGAGCATGTACACAAGGTTCCGGTGGTCCGTAAACAAACGGAATCCACCGGGGCGCAGCAGAAGGTACTCGAGGCGCTTGCAAGCTTCGACGATGGCAAATTCTTCCTTTTCCACGATGGGCCATCGCTCGCTGGCCCCTCGGAAGGCACAGCTCAGGAACGCGACCGGTTCATGACGTTGGTCGACTGTTCGCACACCAAGGTCTTCGGTCGGGATCTGGGTGGCAACCGCGCCCCAGAACCCGTCGCTGGCGTCGGTGTGCAAGCAGACGACCATGTCGGCAGACGGGTGGGCCAGAGGCACCATGCAGTGTAACGCATCTTTGATCGCTTCGAACCAAACGGCATGATCCTCAGCCCAGCCGATACTGGTCAGTTGGACCCTCGCCAAAGCCGCCTTCCGCCGTGCGCCATTGGCAGCCTTCGCGGCGACGTCCAATAGCTGCATCAATGGCGCCACCAACTGGGCGTACGATGGTATAGAGGCGCGCATCCAGTTGACGGCGCATACGAACTGCTGCAATTCGGCGGCCGTCTCCGGGGCCGCCAAGTCGCACAGGCCTTGGATGCGCTTGGGCGAGTGGGTGATCCCTTCAGCGGAGATCATCTTGCCACACCACTCAACGCGACGCACGAAGTAGGCACACTAATTCGGGTGGAGCTTCAGACCATACGCCCCGCATATGCCGAGGACGTTGGACAGTCCCAAAAGTTCATCCTCAGCGGATGCATACCCGAGGAGGACATCAAGCCACCCGAGGACCCCGTGGAACAGCAGGTTCCCGAACATTTGGTTCACCGCCGCCTGGCAGAACGCCACGGCATCGGTGCAGCCCATCAGGACTCTGGTGGGGGTATAAACCCCCATGGGGGTCATAAACGAGAACATCTCCTGGCTATCGGGGTGCAATGGCAACTGCCAGTACCCCTTCATCCAGTCGAGATTAAAGTACATGGACGTGCCGGCCAGAGTCGCAAGAGCCGCGTCCAGGTTGGGCATGGGCCACGGCATCGCTTCCGTGCAGGCGTTCACCGGGCGGCTGTCGATGGGGGACCGGTTGTTTCGGTACACCAGACCCGCACGTTCAAGTTCGGACACTTGTTCTTGCAGGTACTGCACATGGAGCGGTGGAACCGCCGAAGGCCACACTTTACGGGCACTGCGCCGACCTTGACACGGACTTTGAGTGGCTCCACCTTGATAGGCGGGTCTCCGCCCATCTCCACGCGAAAGACATCGATGTTGTCTTGGAGCAGCTGTCGGAGCTGCCCCAGCCCCGCAACGGAGAGTCCCTCTTCCTCCGCTTTGACCAACTTGGTGGTGAGGACCTCCCACACGGCGGTTTCTCGCTCGGCTTGTTCACTGGGGCTGAAGCAGACGGTTGTGGCGTAGCACATTGTAGCCCATCTTCTTCGTCGCCCCCGTCATCAAGTTCCATCTGCATCAGACGGTTGACCCTCGCTAGGGTCGTTAATGCCCCGTGACCTGAGTCCACTGCGTCCAGGTCCTAGACGGCAGCTTGTTGTCGGGCTGCCTCGTGTACCCCGCTGGCTGAATAACCCAGGGCGTTCATCACAGGCCGACCAAAAAGCAACTCGATCTTGTCCTTCACGTCCTCATCCACCCATAAGTCCAGGCTCCGGAGAACCAGCGGACCGTAGGATGTCTGGAACTCAACGGAGCCCAACTTGACCTTTCGGGTCACCGTAATCGCCGGTGCTCCCTTGCCATACGGTGCTAGGTCCGTAGAGCGCGGCATGTCGCGCATCACCACACTGGCTCCCGCTGCGAGTAACGTTATCACAAATCCCAGCGAGGCGACGAACGTGTCGGACCCCGAGTCGAGCAGGGTCGCAGTCGTGGGTAGGACACCCTCGACGACGCACTCGAGCCGTGAGGCCGATGTCGTCGGCGCTGGGGCCTTGAGTGTATTGACTTGTTTGGCAACTTGGTCCCGGCTGCCATCGCCACCGGCACCACGGTTCGGGGCGCTGCTGGTTCGTCTGCCGGCATTACCACCTCACCCAACTCCGTTACCGCGCCCGCCTCCTCGGTTGCTACGGAGTAGTTCGGACGCTTCTTCGGGGGTTGCCTTTTGGCAGCTACGGACCAGGTGGCCCAACGAGCCGAACTTTGAGACAACCTCCCCGAGGTGTCGCTCCCGACACCGGTGCTCCTCGTGACGGTGCCGGGCTCGTTTTCGGGGACCCGCCGCAGGCGCATACAGCACCGGTGTTAGGTTTGTTCCCCTTGGAGGGGTTGAGGTCTTGAGGTCGCAGCTTGACGAACATCTGGTACGTAGTTGCGTACTCCCGAAGCCACCGCACGAACTTGAAAACGTCTGTCCTTAATGTCTTGTTGCGATGCATTGCGATCTCCTCCTTTACTGCCTCTTGTAGACCGGCTGGCTTAATCGCATCCACGATGATGCAGACCATCATTTTGCCCTCCTCACGAAGGACCCACTCCTGGTTGTTCAGCTCGATGGTCTTCATTAGACCTTCGAGCATCGTTCCAATCCTCGAGTCGACATCGGTGATCGACAGGTCGAACTTGGCCGCACCACGTAGTCTTGTACGGATCCCTTCAAGGTCCGAAGGGAGGACGTCAAAGCCGAGGCGCATCCATGCCACTCATTCGGCTTTGGTGACGAAGTCAGCCGGCTTGTGCATTTCCCACATGGCAATTCGCTTCTTCGCATAGTGGTCGATGCAGGCTGACACCGGCATCACCAAGGGTTTGGTGGTCGTCGTCTGCAGAGCAGCCACCTATTCCAGATA